TCGGTTGGCGCGAGTTAGTGTTACCCTAAACCTTAAGCCTAACTGGTTTTCAATGTAACTTCTTCGACTTAGGAGATCCAGAAAGTTACTCTTATTCTTTGTAGTAATAAACGAAAATCTTTCAGTTTAGACCGGCTGTATCCCATAATGAACCTTTCTGGGCCTCCACTAGCATACAGGATATTCCTGACTGGCTGTTGCTCAGTTTCTTATTTGCTGGAACTATGCACTGAGCCCAAACAAAGTTGTCCTAAAAATCCACCCATGTTGGTGGACACAGATATGGTCAATTGAAGGTGTTTTCTGGTCCGAATGGATGTGTAGTAGAGTGTGCAGAGGATTTTGGGGGGTTTTTGCGGAAGGATAGTAGTGAATCCTCTTCCGTTTTACTTTTCTCTACATTAACTAAACTGACGTTACATTTAAGGACCAGTGTTCTTCCACTGTCAGTTATGGTGATGAAGAACAGACCACTTTGGGACTCCATGGGTTGCTGCGACCTATTGCTTCTCATTTTGATATGCTTTCTTGATCGGAAACAGAATTTTCCATTTAGTTGCAGGTTTTTGTTATCTAATTCCCAAGATTTTAGTCCGCACAGCAAATTAGAATTTCATCATTACGGTCTCTGGTGTTACCAGCAATTCACTTGCAATCTATGGAGCAAAACGACATTATCTGTACATCCTGCAAGCCTCCCTAACGAACCTTCACAAAAGAATCTGAGGGCTGAGCCGAATACGGCGACAACACATCTGGACTCTGTGAGCCCCTAAACATTCCCCTGTTTCGGTCACTAAATTCCGGACCGCAAGCTTGTCTTAGCCATTGGAAACACTAGTATTGTCCAGGGGAACCACTAATGCATGCACTCATTAACATAAGTTTATTTCATTTTTGTACGATTTTCATAACGCGATACAGACGAAAGGCTTAGTGCCAGCAAGACCACAAATATGAAATGGATCTGCACTGGTGCTGGTTTCGCATCGAATGTGCATACATGAACTGTCGGTCAAGATTCTTCTTAAAGCTGCCTTCCATCGCGGGTATGTTGGTTTGTCCCTGGTGTAGCTTACCTCACTGACGACCAGTATTCCTCTTATTAACTGTAGCTAAAAAGACCCGAGGAAATAAACCTGGAAGATTAAAATAATGTAGGAGAGTAGAAACCATATGTTTGACTGGTTGCAAAAGATATTCAACTCGCAGATGATAGACTGGGTCCACAGGTGGTTAAACAATAGAAAAAACAATTGTGTTCTCAATTTCGATTTGAATTCTTCATGACTACGAAAGCCAATTCTTGACATAGAACGCAAAAAGTCAGGGTAACTGTTATGCCAACCTGCAATTAGATACATGATCACCTAGACAAGTATTCTGAAAGAAGTTTAACTTGTTTTCAGATTTTCTACTGTATTAATTTTGTCCTGGCCGCTGATCCACTTTCATATAATGTATGGGCAATTTTGGAGCTTCGAAAATTCATCTATTGGACTTAAGAATTTTCCGGATTTTTCGACTTTTGGGATTCAGGTGCTTAACGAAAGATGATCTGACTATGACCAGAGATGTCAAAACAAACAGTCCTCGGCTTTAAAACCGCTCGTGAGCCAGACCAGGAACGGGAGAATGCCTCACATTCGGTCATCTACTGGGCCCATTTCGTCTTACTCCCCTAGCAGACACCAACTCCACCTTCATCCCGCCGAAAAATTGGGGACAACTTGAGGGAAACAGAACAGTTTTGGACCGATATTTCAAACGTACGCTCCGATCAAAAGTCCCCACGTTGGCGCCAAACTGACAAAATAGTTTAAGACTGGGTGATATATGCTAGTCTGTGGAGTGATCTGAATTTGTGATTTACTATTAGCGCTCGCAGAATTTTGCTAAGAAAATCAATATGGATGATTCCAATCGTTATTCTATTGGTAAAATATGTGGTCTGGTGCCAAGGTGAGTGCGAAACACGACGTATGCAACTGCGGTCTTCGGCCAAACATCATTTCAAGAGACAGAGTATGTTTTTGTATATTTTGTATATTTTGTATGTATATAGTATGTTGTTCCTTAGAAACACAGTTCCAGACAAACGATGCAGTCAGACAGCCTAATATCCAGAGGAAAGCTACTTAACCAGAATTTGTGTCCTACGGAGAAATAATGAGAGCGCATATTGCAGTTTGAATATATTTCTGACACACAGTTCCAGACAAACGATGCAGTCAGACACAGATTAATATCCAGAGGCAAGCTACTTAATCAGAATTTGTGTCCTACGGAGAAATAACGAGAGCGCATATTTCAGGTTGAATATATTTCTGACATGCATCTAACTGCTCACCAAATCTGTCCTCTTGCACAATGACGAAACGTTCGGCAAACAGATGCTAAGCTAGGCGAATAGATCCATTTCCACCCGATCCATGGCTAATCTTTTTAAGACTTTTAGTCACTACATCTTCATCATTGACAGCAAGCAGCACATCAGTAACGCACTGTTACTTGATTGCCATATTGTAAGGTTCATGGTTTTATGTTCACTAAGTGACTGTAGGATTACCAAAACCTAGACAGAACGACCATTAGGTTTTCCAACTGCTGCCTGACCCCGAACGACCATTAGGTTTTCCAACTGCTGCCTTTAGCTCAAAAGCCTGACCCCAATACGGCGGCAGTTGGTTTGAGACTACTGGAGAAGCCCAAATTGTAAGGATTAATTTACAACACTTGTGTTAAACACTGACCCAAATAGCCAGGAAATTGTCTGCCGGACATCTATTCATTGGCCTATCCGGTAAAAAGGACTGTCAGTGCTACACGTGCATATACTCAAGTAAAGATCACTGGTGAACTGAGGTATAAAAACTTTCGTACCACGATAAGGTCCAGTGTCTTTAGCTACCAAAAACGCAACTAAAGGGCTATCAAACTTCGTTTTACTATCAGATACCTCATCTTCATAAGGCAAGCAAACCAGTTTCCTCAGTTTTTGATTCCGTAGTGGCCAAAAAGTTCTTCTCTGTTGCTTACTCACACTTTAAAAACAGTACGGTTAACACATAGACTCCTGACAGCCGAAGACAACAGTTTGGCAACAAAGAACTAAAGATCATCCAGCAGTTGATGCAACAAAAACTCCTTTCTGAACCCGTGCTATAATCCTATCTTCTGGTTACATTTCATCCTAACCCATATGTAGGTCCGTTAATCGCCGGCCGTGAACGTAGTAAAACATTTTCTATAGTTTTCCAAAATGTTTCTTTGGACTAATCTTCGGAAAGAAGTCTAGCTAAAGTTTTTTCTCCATTGTAGTCTTACTTAATCACTGAGGATCTAGTTGTTATCCTACTGTTTTAGAAAATATGCGGTAGTAGATCTACCGGAGAATGTTTACTATAGACTCCTCTGATTGGCCTCTCTCGTGAAGTGACCTTACCTTACCGCTTAAAACCACAGAGCCTCTAACCTGTATTGCAACTCAGATATTACCAGAGAACGTGATCTGTCACTGCTGGAAAAGAAGCGTCACCAGACAGTGTAATAACAGGGTTGGTGATATCAGCCACTCCCGAAAAGCTCATTACACCACCTGGTTTTGATCAAAAGCATTAAGTTGCCTCCATCAAACCCTTGCCTTCCCTGTTTTTTCCCACATTCTTAAAAGGACGTCCTTTCTCTAGTACCATACACCAGCTGAGTGGAGGCATTTTCCACTGTTGTTTTATTTCATAAGATGATTTTTTGTCTAAATTGCATGTAAGATGTCCATAACGATGAGTAGCGTATAACTGTTCCACGATAACTCAATATAGCGTGGGTATTATTGTTTGAAGGGAGAGGCAAGAGAAATAGCAACATGAAAAAGAGGACTCAATCCAAGTGTTTTCTCTTCCAATTCAACACTTTTCGAGCAGTGAAGATGGGATCCCGAACTCAAATCAGAATTTGTTTACGTGACGTTTCACTTCTCATAAATTTGCCGAAAACTCTCCAATGGCTTACGACCGGTTTCTCCCTTTTTGGTTTGCGGAAACTCGAGGAATCCGGCCAACTGATGAGTCCCAAGAAGGGCAAAAGTGGTCGGTGGCTGTTGAGGAGTTATTGTGTCCCTTTGGTAAACATACTTCAAAGCCCTGAATATCGTATCAACCGAAGCATGAAGCGGCCTTGGTGCAACTTTCAGCTGATTTGTGCTCCAAGAGCAGGTCACTCACACTCCTCATTCATCCCTTGAAATTTTTGAATTTCACCCTGCTGTTCTAGACCCCATAGGTTTAATGACTTTGGAAGTGATACCACTGCTTGTAGACAAAATCATGGCCTCTTAAAGATGGGGATCTACTCTCCAGGGATGGAAATTTTCAGTGATCGGTGGCTGAGTGCGCCTTCGTAGACTTTTGGTAAGTGACACTGCATCGGTGGAATCCCTGATGAAACGAGGGGTTAATATAGTTCCGTATAACTGAGGAACGTCTTAATTTCTAGGGTAATAAATTCTATTAGTTTCCATTTCTGATTTCATGTCGCACTTTCGGTCCAGACTAGTAGAATTAGAGTAATCCTAGATTTATCGTACTCGTCCTTGAGTTTAGGTTTTTGGAAGGTGTGACGGTTGAACAAACAATATCCATGTCCTTGACAGGGAAATGCTCAGTGCACTGTAGCACACGGAACAAACTGAGACAATCGATCGAACTGGAATGACCAATGAGGATTGAACTTGTGTGTCACAGTAGAGCGCCACTATATATCACGTAGGAAAAAGCGATCGATGGGTTGAAGTAATGGGTAAATAGTAGAATCTTTTCTATATAACTACACTGGAACTAGGATTATACTAATCCGTTTAACCTAGCCGATTGATTGAATTCTAACGGGAGAAAGTAACCTGGATTAAAAAGTGTCCACAGAACGCGGTATACAACCGGACATAAAACGGACAAGCAGTGCGATAGCATACTGCGTGGAATACTATCATTATTTGGGTAAAAATGGATCCAATGAATGTGAGACCAACCAAATTAGATTCGGATCAAAAGCCCGAAGAGGATACCGATTCATCTGGTGAGAAAGATGAGTCCCTTCTATTGTTAATTCAGCGTGCTAAAAGAAGTTCACAGTCGTCGGACAATAAGGAATCAGAACATAACAACGCTGACACGTCGGACGAAAATGAAGCTAAATTGGAAGAGAAACCAGAGCCGAGGTCCTCCGTTTCAGCAACTCGTAGACCAAGTGCCATCAGTATTTCAGACTACTTGGCCTCAAAAGCTGTTCAACAAACAATCGAAGCCCAACGTCACAACAAAAAATCTCTTCGAAGATCAAGTGCACCATCAAAATCGAGCGGTCGAACTGGTGAGACGGCAGATTCCAAGAACGGTTCAACCCAAGTTAGCTCCAGTCACAAGGATGAAAGCAAAGTTGCTAGGAGTGGTTCGTTACCGACCAGCATTGAAGAGGAGAGTGAATAATCCACTTGGAATTTTTAACAGGTCAAAAGTTTTAATCGCATTGTTTCCTGTAAGTGCAATACAACACGAAACGCATATGAACAAAGGAATTTTGTGTTCTCCCCGAATAATGGTACTTTCGTTTTGTGAAACTTACTGAGCATATTGTTTGTTTTTCTTGGACAGATACTACCAGTTTGCTCACAGTAGGGAAATCTTGTCCATTTAGGGATACTCACGAAGCTGAGATCCACTGAACGCGATGTATCGACTACATCCTGCAGATTCAAACCAGTGGTTAAACTCGATAAACGAAACAACCTACAACGACATCCAACCATTCACTATCCAGTGCCGTTGCTAAACTCATTGTCCTTTCAACTTACTCCAAGGCCAACGAATAGGTAACAATTAGGACGAAAGCATCATGTTTCCGGAATAATTCACTCAGCTCTTTCGCGACCGTGATTGTTAGAGTGTTCATAGTTAATTCGGAGTAATACGGCCTCCGATCGCACAAAGTGTTCGAAGGGATTTAGTCGCAACTTTTTCTGTGTTGGATGAACGAGGAATCCTAACAGCCTCTAAATTGATAGTGTTTTAGGCCAGTATGGAGTTCAGGCAATAACTCGTCTCTAGTACTATAAACCCAAGCATGTGATATCAATCAGAAGAACTAAAATGCCAGCTGCATCCAAAGTTAACTAGTACAAAAAATATGGACCTTATCTAAGTGAAACCTGAACCGATTTGAAACACATGGCCAGATATCCAATGGTAGACGAGTAAACGAGATTTGTGGTTTTAAACAAAAACTGAACTTGAACATCAGTACTTAAATAGCTTTCAGTCAGTTTGACAAGTGTCCTTTGCCTGTGTACAAACGAGACTCTCAAACGCCCTTTCATCTTAGAAGAAATCTGGTGGCACAAATGTCCCCTATTTAAACACCTGTTTATTTTCACTTCGTGATGTGATATACCGCAACAGACACCTCACGTGGCTGTTTTTCAACCGGTTAGAAAGACAGAAATCCAATTTGGGTTACACGGAGGAGTTGGTCTACTTCTTATCGATCAATATTGATTAGTTTGAACACGATACAACGGCTTCTTTGAGAGAATACACCTAAGGCCGGTTTGAAGTAAGCTCATCCTGGAAGTTTGTTCACCGTGGAAAAGGGGTGGGATCAAGTTTAGCCGCAGAGCACCAGAAAGTTCCCTCATGGTAAACAAATAAACAAGAGATAAAGGTTGGAGAACCAGCAACCGGCCGGCGGGTATTTCTTCAGAGCTCAAAAAATTTTTTCTTTGTCACATACACCTAAATTAAATCGAAATTTTTAATCGACGGTGGTTGGAAAATACTGTAAGTAGATGGACAGAAGCTTTTTGGTTATTGAGGAGTCGGTTGTTAGCATGCAGCTTATGACAAAAAGATTCCTAGACAACTACCCTTATCACAAATGATGACTGGGAATCGATATTGCCCAAGGGATTTTTTACATCCACCATGATGGTTTCATAATGCAACTATACACATCATTTCTGGAAGCAAAAAATAGTAAACTCATATCTTTTATAGTGACCTAGTGTTACTTGCCATTCAATCGCAAATGTCATGGAGGAAGTTTCCCATGTATTCATAGATGTCTGTGGCGCGTCGACCCATAAGAAACAAAGACCGTATCTCTGGAATGAGCTCGCCACAGATTTGAGATCGTTCGCTGTACCAATGCTTTCGGTAAAGCCACGATTCTGGAAATGACAAGAAGTATCTTGAGGACGACGCTCGTAGGCACCTCGTAGACAATTTGTCACATCAAGGGTGTGCACCAGACTAATTTATGTCGTGGCAAACAGTTGCGCGATGAAACCCTACCGGTAACAATCATCTCACATCTACTCTGGTTGATCCAGCTTTGCTTTTTGTGAAAATGAGGTCTTGCCACTAGAGTTACACAGTGGTCAATGTGGTATCCTCACACGATATATTCGAATCGGGGAGGGCGCCGTATCATTATCAAGAATTAGGAGAATTGATGGTTTATCCGGCCAACACAACAACAAAAGACTGTTCAACTTGGAGATTTTATATTACCGTAATACATGTTACTTTCGTCTGACATCGCATAATCCTCAGTATTAGTCTTCGTGAGAACTCTGAATGTGGCGTTTTCGAGTTGTTGTGTTAATGTCCTCGGTATCAGCATATTTTGTATACTTGTTGATAGCAGGACTAGAAAACACGACAAGATCTATCTGCTGTCTCATTTTTGTTCAAACACTGTCGGTCAGTCCCTCCACTTTCGTGGAAATAACAGCTTCCTCATAGGCAGTCGCACCCTATGAATTGGCAGCTGCTGCACAGTGTCAGCCAAAATTCCATTGCTCACGGTTAAGCGGTAAGTTGCGCTTTCGGACCATCAAACATGTCATATGATTGTTAACTTGATTGATGAGCAGTGGGTAAGACTCCTGCACGTTTAATGCGTCATTATATCCTGAGATTTTCCCGATACATGAATGCTCCTCTTCCACAATACACTGTACAAAGTGGGTCACCGTTTTCTTGGGTCCGCTTGCATCCAGCTCTGCTACATGAGATACAGTCGCTAACTTCTTTTCACGGGGGAAATTCTCACGTGGACAGACGTGAGATTTCATCTCAAACTCATGTAGCGATTGAATGGCACCCGGACCCGAACTCTAAGGTAATATGAGGCCTTTCAAGCACGCTAACCGAAGCAGTGAAAAAACATCATTAGGATAACGTTTTTTTTGTTTTTTGGGGGGGGGGGGGGTTGTTAGACTGGATAGATTTATATGTTACTGTATCAAAATTGAGATGTGTTCGGTTTGTCCAAATCAAAGTTACCGGTGGGTTCTGCCAATACAGGTGGCTCGGCGTTCACATGTAAAACGGCAAAAAGGACGCAAGATGATGTATTAGTGCAGTGTTTTGTTGAAGATGTGGCGGAATACATCCATCTGCTGCAATTCACATTGCGCGCAAGACCACGAACAGTAAGGTACTACAGTTTCCCGACTTTATAGCTATCAGGAGATATAGATCAGTACTATGTGAACGGAAGGAGCCGATCATATCATTAGTACACACTTGGTTAATGATTTGCTTTCTACATCCTGATGGTAGAGGCTCTCCTTCTGCTTTAGTTATTTACTGACTTTATTCTGTAGTACAGCGACACAACGAAGTACACTCCGTGATACTTAAAACGTCTCATTTCTGTGTTCTTTTCAAGTTTGTGGTCGACAAAAATGTTTCAATGTAACACTGGCTCAAATCACATTCTCTCAGATCACTTAACCAATGGTTCTGTTTGGCTTCCATCAATTTAGGTACGCTGTATAGGACCGTACACGTGATCGTAATCCTATTCTACGGCTTTTTCACCAGTTGATGGTATATCAGTTCACTCATCGATCCGCTGAAACCCTGAGCTCATCGACGCCTCCAAACCGCTAGTCGGCTTGCACCAAGTCAATTTGGTCAGCAAGCACCTCATTGCACCCGGTACTGAAAACTTTTCCACAGCCAACGGCCGGTTTCACCCTTCTCGGGGATCACCAGCAACCTTGTGAGTAGTTCGTAATGCACTACCCATAAAGTGGCTAAAAACTCTTCGACGGCCCACAACCGGTTTTACCCTTCTTGGGGCTCATCAGATAGGCGCAGTCCCCGAGGTTCCGTCAACCTTGTGTTGTACTTGAAACCGAATTCCACGAAATTAGCGAAAGACACTCATTAGCAAACAAATTTGGTTTTGCGAGAGACTCACCAGGAACCCAGCTGAATCTTTCGTTTTTGATGTTTCCAGGCAACTGAATTTGCCACATCAGGCCGCCTCATGTTTCAATGACTACGATATTCGAGATATCACCTGGAAACTTCACAAAGGAAAGATTCAGCTGGGTTACAGGTGAGTCTCTCGCAGAACCACATTTGTTTGCAGTTGAGTGTTTTTCGCTTTCGAGTAGTTCTTTTATAAAAATAATGGAGTTTCTCTGTCCCTAGTTTTAACTACCCAGAAGAATGATTCATCACGCCCTTGAATTGTACGCGAATTTACGATTGCAAGAACCTAACACAATGAAATAAACTGTTTTCACAAGTCCAATCGAAGCTCGTCTAATTGGAGGTGGAACATCTTGTGTCAAACTTTATTATGACGACAAAATACTAGACTACTTTATGGAATTTTGTCAAAAACGGAAGATTTTATCGCAAATTTCACAACATAATATAGCCCTTGAAGTTGATTGCATAAAGCTCCGATATAGCTCCAAAACCTCTGCGGTGACAGCAGAGTTGCTCTCTCAACCATTTTGCGAAAGTTCAGAAGCCTCTTCTAGTCGGCATGGAGCCAAACCGATTATTGTTACCAAAGCTTGCGGTGGGTGTACGACTAGGACCAAGAGGCACAGGGATACAACGCATCCATTTCACCACACAGTGTGCACAAATAACAAGCAAAATGCTTTCATTTTATCACCATAGTTTTGGCTTAAACCGATGTAGATTCCTTGATTAGCCTGATGAAATTGTCTGCGTAAAGTTTTGTGGTCAGTGACGGTCTTCTCCATTTGCAGTTCCTCATAGATAATGGGGGAGGTGTTGGGTAAGATCTGCAGGCAAATCGAAACATTTCAAAAAGAATCGTTAGGACTTGTGGTGATGTAAAATTCCACTGTCTTTGCTACAGAACAACCGATAATTCGCTGTTTTCCAGCATTAACTTCAATGGGTGGATATCCCACATTCAGTTAACACGATGTGGACCGTTTGCGCAGTGAATGACACCATCATGGTTTGTCAGCCAAGCGCTGCTGGTCGATCAGAAGAGGAATTGCCTGCTTCCCGCGTCATGCAAGCAGTCAAATTTCACCCTGCTAAACTTAGTCAGAGTGTTACTCAGCCTACCGGACAGCATACAATCATTTGAGCTACCATACTGGACTTACGATAGCAACCATTTTGTCCAACGCCGATTATGTGAGCAAAGGCATGCTAGTTACCTTGAGGCGCTGAATCATTTTACGTGTAACATTTCCAGTCTACTACCTAAAGCGCATATATGAACAAAGATATATTTTCTGTTTATACTTCATTATTCTTACTGCTATTGTGGCCCGAAAGTTCACAATTCCACTAATTTTGTACGCCACTGGTTCCTGATACTCTGAAAAATCCAGCAAATTAAATAGGCCACTATCTAGCTTCCAAAAGATACTGGTGTTTGAAATAAGGAATAAAACAAAATTCACTCGGCACTTTCACGCTAACGACATCGGTGTTGAAGTAGACGGGTTGCGAAACTAGTATTAGACGGACTACATCTGAAGATCTACTTATTCCATGGAACTCAGTCATCGTCCATCTCTGACAAAGTATTGCGTCAAACATTCAATGACACTACTGTGCAGCTGAATGAGTGTCAATAATGGGAACTTGTTACGGGAATTCGGAGGTGAATGCACCTTTCACCAACTGGTCTACCGTATTGAAGAGCTAAGCACTCCGCGAACCCGACTGACAGGTGAGACGGTGATTGGAATTCTTTTCCCTCCACTTACTCCTTGAACACGCGCATCACAGTCGCTCTAATATGAATACACTAATCGTCAACTGAAGCACTTATACCCCACACACATCTAACCGATAGTCTGATATCTAAGCTCCCCTTTTGAACGAAGATGACGTAAGCTTCGGTGGAGCTATGTACTTTCGTTACCTTCCGTAAAGTTACGGCAGAATGACATCACAGCCATATCTCTTCTAAACTGGTTTGCCTGGCTGCATGTAACGTACGTTTTCTGTTGTGCTCGGAAAGTGGGAAAACAAAAATACTTCGAAACTACTGAAAATATTATGCAACTAGTTCAAATGTTGGAATGGTAAGTACTTCAGCTCTGACAGCCAACTTTGGCGACACTTGAAATCAACTCCAAGGAGATCAACCGATATCCGGATTTATCAATGGAGTAGTAATGCGTAAGTTGTTCTAAAACTACTGAAAATATTATGCAACTAGTTCAACTTTTGGAATGGTAAATACTTCATCTCTGACGGCCGACTTTGGCGACACTTGAAATTAACTCCAAGGTGGTCAACTAATATCCGGATTTATCATTGGAGTAGTAATGCATAAGTTGTTCTAACCTATGAAGACGAAAGCCAAACACATGCTTTGTTAGATAAGCTGACAACCATCACACCATCTTTTGGAAAGTGTCTTACACCTAAAAGTGCAAAGTCATGGTTCAGGACCCACAGTCTCTGAACATGCCTTTTGAAATTCAAAGAGAAACATTCAATGTTGTGGAGAGTTTCACATGACTCTGTAGTTGATTTGCTCTGACAGTGTGTCCGATGAATTATCAAAAGGTCGAATATTTTTGGTTAATTTGTATCACTTTCGGCACCAAAAAAGCACATCGATGAGTCTCAAGGCTACACTAAGCGCTTCTGTGTCGTCTGATTGTAAAGAATAGCTCACGTAGATGGGTGGGACGTCTTCAGGATTTTGACAACCGATATCCCGGAAGTGTTGCTGTTGTCGGTTTGAGTCGACGAATTCTTAAAGAGGTAATTAGAAAACCGGTATTTGATGGACAGCAGGTACTTCATTCGCTGACAAGATCTAGCAACATCAAGTGCGGTGCCTCGACCTCGTTCTACGCATGCCAAAACACCGTATACCGAGACGAGCGTCATTCTCTATGCCCTCAGAACGGCAGAAACTGCGAGGTGGACAACATACGACTTCGTAGAAGGGCGTGAAAGTGAATAGAAAGAGTTTGTAGGTTATGGCGCGCTACGCCTTCCAGGATGGGGTTCATGTGGGCCTTCCTGCGCTTGACTGGAGAGGTAGCAGGAAATGGCTACTGATCTATCCCAGTGGCGTTTGTGTTGCCATACTCTCTCCAGGTTAGTTGACTGGGTGCTTGGAGGTGCAGACACCCCATACAAGCATTAGGTCCCCTCCCTCACCCACTCCCTTAAACATAATTAAACAAACTCTAGTTGTATGGCAGCAAGATATCAGTGTCAACGCTAATATTTCTGATAATGACGATGAGTACAGAAAGCACACTGTACTACCAATAATTACTCGGAAGCTCTTTGCTCGCTGTGAACGACATTTTCATCAGAAGGAAACAGAATACAGGACAGTACGCAATACAACACCGATAAACACAAAGTGTCTGGAGGTAATATCTATGGTTCAACTGGGAGAGAATAACCAAATACTACTTTTTAGATCACCAGTTAGTACGGAAACGGAGGGAATATGTTAAATTACCCCTATCGAAAAAAATGGACTAGGTACTAAACTACCGTGACAACCACCCATAATTAGCAAAACTCTATTCAGGACAGTCGTGGAAAGTACGGTAGAAATGAGAAGAGACATTCTGAAATAATCATTGCGCTCGAAATTAGACGATAAACAGCCACCCAACCCCAGAAGTAACAAAATACGTAAACAATCAAACAGATAAACCACCTTCGAGTGCATCAGAAACGTACCTGAAATCAAACAGGGCTACAATAACCAAAAAACATCACAGTAGTTAGGTTGAACAAGTTGATATCAAGGTCGATGGAAGGAAGTTGTCCGAGTACAATGGTCTTTCACAGAATAAGTTGCATGAACTACAACAATTAATATGCTGAACAAACGAAGGAAACTATCCGCACGGATGAAAGCAGATAGTGCAGCGATCAGAGAACTTCATCTGTTCTATCACGTTTTGACACACAAAGTTAAAGGAGGTTAAAAAGCTCAATCCAGAAAACGTGAAAATTGTGACAAGCGGAACGACCAAGTATCCGGAGAGTTCTCAGAACAATGGCAGTCCATAACATACTCAGCCAACCAAGCATAAAAACTGATCCATTCTACGCACTGTCGTACGTAAAGTTTCTCCAACCTAATTGGACAACTCAAAAAGAACTGGCTGTTAGATGACAATAGTTGCAACCATTGAGGCGACAGAAAAAAGCCACTGAGTACGTCGATCAAGTGTGGAACGAACTAACAAGCTGAACAGCAGGAGTGACGGACCAAACGACCAACTATGGTTCAGGGCCGCCACCATATCGTCCTCATGGTTCATACGAACAAGCATGGCACGGTTCAAAACGAATACTGAAGTCCGATGAGAAACAACGCAGCGCCAATTCGCGACGATCTAACCTCACATCGATAGCTTAAACAACTTTTGCGAAGTGCCCAGCTCAGAGTACATGAAAACGGGTAAAAATCCCTTGTCTATACTAGTGAATTTATAATGCTATGCAGGAGTTAAGCTTTGCATAATAGTCTGAATAAAGATATTACGTTATTGTGAACCTTCCACCAGATCACATAAAAGTACTGTCACAGCAGTTCACTGCATGTGTTCAGTGGTATCCGGAATGCCCTAATGAACGAGCTAACTAAACTGTTTTTTTTAAACCGAGTTTCTGATGCTTCTAGCTTGTTCCGCGAGGAAATGATATGATGCAAAGTTTCATGTGTTCCGAGTAAATACTCGCAGCTTTTGTAAGCTTATACAAGTAGTGACGTGGCCCAGTTACTCCTGTTCCGCCAACAGAGAAGCGTGGATCATTTAGGTACCTTACTTCAGTTTGATGGTTCGGAGTGATAGCCGGAGTGAGAGCATCCCGTTTGAAATAAGAATATTTTAGCTGCTACTAGACAAATCTTGGGAGTGGGGTGATAAATGCCCCATTTAATACAGATGTTTCTCATATTGTTAGAGATTATTCGTATCCTATGGTAGCTATGTTGTAGTGCTTTGAAAGCAGCCAGTCCAGAGGAACACCGTTCGGGTTTGCTAACATGAAGTCTTAAAAAGGACCTGAAAAACGACTAACCAAATGGTGACCTAGGCAGGTCAGTAGTCAGGAAGTTGCAAGCACCATCATTAGTTCAGGCGTCAGCGTACTGAAGGAGAAGAAGAACCGATCACGACGGCATGACTAGTTGGTTTTTGGTGCTTCGGTCAACAGGAGTGATCTGTACAGGCAGGGAGTGGATCACGGTATTGGTATCTGATCATGTGGTTGCTGATCTGTTCACCAAACCTAACAACTGGCGTGCAAATATTTCGTCACCATCCAAGGAGACGTTTTCAGTTCGCGGTCGGGTGGATTGACACGAAATACTGGCATACTTGATCTGTAAGTCTGTTGATCATATGCAAGCATGTCATTACATGTAAGCGAATCTGTGTTCAACGGACGCCACCGCCAAAAACTGACGGGACTATGAAGGCCATTAAGATCACTTGAATCTACTTTAAACCATCAAGACAGCCCGAAAGATGTTACTAGTGTTTCGAAATAAACGAATTTAATGTAACACATAGTGATACCATGACTGCTTTCGGTTGGCAGTGACCAGCGGAAATTTTGGTCTTATAAGACGAGTTCCTCCATCCTTTACTTAACAGAGGCGTAAAGTCATCACTTCGTCATCTTTAAACAGATTGCCTGAAGTATCTTTCAAAAGGACGCCAGATAATCTATTTGGATTTTCGGTTTAACTACTGTATAAGCCATCTCCCTCCACAACCGGTCTCATCAGTGTCCAGTTGGCATATATATTCGCAACTTGAGATACTTCTCACTCTCTGCTCAGTGAAGGTTTTGTTTTTTGGCCCCTCATAGTCTTGCACACGTTGTCAGCTGTTGCGAAAAATGAAAATGTTTTCCTAAGTGTGCACGTGGCCTGAAAGTTTGGGCTGGTCACGTGCGATAAACGCTCCGTAGATAGTCTGAACACTGTAAAAGTCTTGATAGGCTGCACTGAACGAAGGTGAAAAAACATAATTCACCCTAACAACCAAGCGTATATTAGTCTTAAAAATAACATGAGGGGAGAAACACGAAGTTTCAAAGCAGGTGTTTGAGAATAGCCTTTATCCTCATGTTTTGCTGAATTAAACGCATGAAAGGTACTCTACTGAACAGTATGCGGTAGTGCTGTAGATTTTAGATATAACGTGACCGCATATTTACAGCGTTCTCTTTTGAACTGCTCCCCTGCTGTTCTGAGTCAATTATTCTGGTTATTTGAAACGAAAGAGGGGACGGTGCACTAAAGTTTCGCTCTTATCAGAGCTCACTAGCAATGTAAACCCTTACACATGTCTCATAATGGTTAGAAATTATTCCATTGTTATGCAAAGAGTTACTGTGCCATATACAGGTCTTGGGAAGCCGGTATACACCGAGATATTTGCAGAAACATGGTAACAACGGTCACTTACTTTCGGAGACAATGCATGTTGCGCTCAAGAGCCAGCGTGAAAGTTTCTACTGAATTTTGCGCTACTCAACCACAATTAGTAGGACGTCAAAAGCGACTGAATCTGCGATGTCCCACGGAGTTGAAACAGGTTGTGATCAACCGAAACCCACGACTATACTTGTTATTCAAATTGTGTAGCTAACGGAAGGTTTCCGCGAAATTTTGTGTCAAACCAGTGTGACGGCCCTCTGTTTCATCTGTGGTCCTTTCACAAGCAGGTTTTCTGGTGAAGATAACTTTTCAAGCGAGTCACCGGAGCTGGACACTCTCAAATCTACGCGTCTACCGTCTTAGTGAACAACTGCTCCGGTTAATAAGAACGAAAACTCAGTGGAAACCAGAGGACCAGGCGTGAATCACGGAACACAAGCAACCAGACAGTAACCTGGAGGTCTTAAAATAAGGCAGAGAAACGTATCGATCATAGGGGAAAGGCTGGTGCGCTAAACCTAACGATATTGGCCACGTGGTATGCAGACCTGACTATTCTCTAAATCTGCCGAAATTTTCCTCTTTCAGAGAGGAAGAGCTGTTGACCGCATTAGCTCACTTTTGCACTCAACAACAGTTGTGATGGTGGAATATACACTCGCTAGTTGGCGCACTAAGCTAAACGAAGTCAGGTGGTGCCAGTGTGAAGACAACCGGGAATTCTCGACGCCAAAGGTTTTTGGACGCAGTGGACGATAACTGCGTTAGATTCTCGTTAAACACGATGTTAAGAGGAATGGATAATTTCAAACGCTCTCGGCCTATACTAATGCTTGTAACCAATTTACGTGACGCACTATGCGTCACATGGTACTTCCATACATTCCCCATAATTTGTACCGTCGTATGGTACACAAGTTTATTGGAAAATCCTTCCATACGTGCAGTGTAGCTCATAGTCAGTGGAAGATGAAACATAAGTCTACCACAAACATCCTTCGTTGTGTGGTCGCCGCAGTCTCATGCAGCTCTGATTGGAGCATTGACTCAAAGATGTTTGAGCCGACATGTGTACTTGAACAGAACATAAACTGGACAGCTGTATGTAGGTACCTATGAATAAAGAAGCGGTTTTATAAAAAATAGGTCAGTCTGATTCGTATCATCATAAGGTTTGCATAGCGACCAATGACTCATCGACCCAAATAAAGAAATGCAACACAACGATAGGACCGGTAGACTGCAAGGGCACCCGTGCCGGCCGTAAACAAGCTTCAAAGGGATATCGAGGTGGGACACAGGACTGCATCGCCTGCACTGATGTGCATTCGCGAGCAACCTGTTTGGAAGCTGTTTCCACCAAACAGAGACGATCCATGAAACAGAGACCCACGGTATCACCAATGAAGTCGCACCCGTAATCACACCACTGTCAGTAGCTGGCATCAAAACAAGCAAGTGGAATTCATCCACACACTCGGTCGACAAGCTAGCCGATCTGCAGTTGTGAGTTCTAGCCATAGTTCAGTCCAACGCCATGAGATCACCGTTACGGTCACCTCCAGGATAATCATGCACGGTCCCTGGTCGTCCTCGAATCTATGTTACTCAAAGCTCTTGAAATATGGATACTGGGCGAATAGGTTCATTGCAGAATTCGAGTGAATTCGACGCAGTGATTAGTAGAAAATAATTCCCAAAAATTAGTGGTCCAAATCTCGAGAGGTTAAGAAGTGACTTCACTCGTTTCAATTATTTCCAATTTGGTTGTTTGTACAGTCCTTCTGAAATAAGTCGAACGCAAGCGTATTTCGATTCATGACACCGTTTCAACGGGTGAAAAGTATAGTGATTGCCTGAAAATTTTAAAATCTGCCAGAAAGTGACTAACTTCGGGCGCGCACACTATTTTTCGCTCGTCAAAACAGAGTCGAACTATGCTCGCGTTCGATACACTTTATTCTTTATAACGGTGCATGCCTTGCCTGTGAAGTTGAGGGCGCGGGTCGTCCCCTTCATCCTCTGGACTGTATTATTGGAGTCAGTGAGTTAGTTTTTGAGGTGACTTGTATCGTGAACCGACTGATTCCGGAATACTTTCTGCGCGCTTCTTTGGATATGAGGCAAACTGTCGTAAAGATGCCTAACAAGTTGTGCTGATGAAGACACCAGGTCTGCTGAGATCTCTAACAGCGAGCATAAGCTAAACCGAAACAGTTAGCCAGCATTATTGATTGAGAAAGTATTCGATCAGTCGTAGACACGATCGAAATATCCTGTTAACCGTTCATATATTGTACGGCTTACAAACCACGGTTTTGTTTAAATTCAATAAACAGTTCACAAAGCTGAAAAACCTGTTAGAAGACATATCAACGCCCCAACTACTCCAATTGGTAAAACAAAAGGCACATGTTGTGGAAGACGAGATACATGCTTTCCACCACTGAATCCATCACCGTACGGAAAGACAGCGATTGTGCTGCACACCATGATGGAGAGCCACGATGTTATTCCAGGTTGCACGGCAGTTATGCGCCGAAAGGATACCACAGCTGTACGATCCGACAAGGCCCAGCGAATTTCAAAATGGCTGCCAATGGACAAATAATAATAATAGTCTGCAGTCCAGGTAATTCATTTGTGTCAGCCAGAATGACGGCCAGTCCATATCAGATGTGGATGGGGTTGTCAGAAGCAGCCAAAATCGCGACTAGTTGACCTCGGCTTGAACACAAGAATGGTAATATCTGACCCTGACCATTCAGACAAGTCCTTGAAATCACACTGGTAGATGCCTATCCACTCCTGCTTATCTCGTCATTCGTGATTCCTATTATCCTACACCTGCGGTGATCGAAGCACTGAACAGTAGAGCTCTTAGTCTTCTTTATTCCACAAATAATGCTAACTTAAAAGGCATGAGTCTGCCACCAAATGCAATACTTCGTCCTAGGTTAAATCATTCGACTCTAGTAAGAATCCGGTGCCCCGGAAATCAGACGTGAAGAACAGCAGACCCGGAAAATCTTGTTGTAAATTAAGAGCTGAATAAAGTGTTCAAAGTTCGCAGCGTACAAGTTTGAATCTGATGCACCTATGAGACCGTAAACAGAAAGTACTTTGTGAGCTATCTCGCGAGTAACGTGCTTCTCGCTTCAAAAATCCATCAACCGAATGGCACGTAATCACCATCATTAATTCAATGGTGTCGTGGTTCTGATGTCTGGTTTTGCCACAACTTGGTCTAGCTTTGGTTGTGTGCTTCAACCAAGAGCCTTGAGTACTATGTTGACCGGTAGATGAAAGACCACTTGAGAGCCTATTCAGCTGGACACACACTGGCGGATGATTGTCAGATGTAGTTATGCTAAATCGGACAAGGAACTGTAGAGACAGTCCCCCGATGTCATGGTCTCTCTCAAAAATACCATGTCTCTAAATGGGAGGTTAGTCTCCACCCGATATTTCCCGTTCGTTCATCAGGATTCGCGAATGTGCAGGCGGTTACCTTCAAGTTTCTGACGTGCTGGTTTGCTACAAGAGGTATCATTAGGATATATGCAACGGCATAAAGCCAGCCGGTGCACAATCATTCCTTTAAGTAGCGAACAACATCCATAATGATGCGAGAAATCTCCACCATTTCAAACTTGGTCAATCAGCACGTACGCGACAATTAAAGCCCAAAAATGAACCATTACTCGTTTCAGATGACATGTGGTAGGCTAACAAAGGGCATTGCACAGCCGTTGTGGACCATGAAACCTCATATCCAAGATGTGCTGGCTAGAGAGAATGGAATCACGCACCTTTGGAACAGTAGAACTCGTTAGGGTCATAACAAAGAATACGGAAGTTTGTGTACCTAGGCCAGAAACTCTGCAGTTTCTGTTTCATTTTTGTAGAACAAACAAGGCCGACCTAAGATGCGAAATGAGATACATTAAATTCGTAGTCTCTGCTGGTTGGATATAAAAACGTGCTATGAAATTCGAAACCAGCGTTTGTGCAGCGAAGCGAACGAACTATTGGTCGATAGACTAAAAGTTACTGGAAATAAGGCCCGCAACTTATGTAGGGAACCCATGTATGCAAAAAAGACACCAAGCGATTTTTTAACGGGGCAAATTGTAAGTCTTGTGTTGAAGGGCGAGGGGTATCAAAAGTACATACGAAGTTAGGGAAGCTCTCAGGTTATCGGAAAGAATACGTCCATATGGCAGCTTGTTGAGCTACTTGAAATATTTAGGCTTTATCGTGCCAAGTAGGTTAAGGATGAATGTTTTGCAGCAATAAATATTTATACAAATTTGCAAAATGTTGGTGAGTCCACACCAAACGGGAGGAAACCAATCACACTGCTCAAGCATGAGCATGTTCGTCTGTTCAGACATGAAAATTCAGATGCATCCAGCGTGTGCTAGTAGAGTGGTCGCAACACTCTCCCTCGCACGTCATGTGTCTGAAGTCTGAACCTCGGCACGACCAACGATGTGCAATGCTGATGAACTCTGATAAGAGCGAAACTTAAGCCCAGTGCTTCCTTCCTTTGGTGTGGACTCACTAAACTAATTACGCCAGGAAAGGACGACCGATTAGCCGAGTGACGTGGATCTGAAATCTACAAATCCCACAAGTTTCGGTGGAACATTCTGGTGGACAGAACTTGACACTATAACTGTCGTATAGACTATATTCTAGAAATTCTCGAAGTCATGCACCAGACAACCAGCAAGGATATGGTTTATAGATAGATTTGACGCCGTAATTGTCTCATGGAAAGAGGAAAAGCACATATTATGGAAACTTATGTACCTAAATGTGCCCGTCAATATTAAATAACTGCAGAATTTTATCAAACAGAACCCCACCGCTGATTGTGACAATTTTTCGCCTGGTAATGCGCGATACGGGTATCAACAAAAGTCCTCTGGGATAGGGCGAGCTGCTACAGGATAATCTTCACACCAACCATGGAGCAATGGGCTGTTATTCCCAAACGAGTGATTGCCAGAACTTGGACATTTTTCATGTCACCTGCAAAGGACTTCAGGTGTAAGTACGCAGCGACTGCCAAGAGAATCGGTGAACCCTGAACGAGCCCTTTTTGGGTAGGATTCCTCACCATGGTTGTAGCAGACAGAAGATTAGGTAGGTGACTAAGTTTTATTCGGTACTCAACAAGGCTATCCAAACAGCAGAAATAATAGATGACGGTTTCATTTGTCTTTGATTTTTGGTTTCTCTGCCACTTGATCAGCCTTCTTGTCTTCTAGTAGTTTGGCCTTGTTAGCTTCATTGGGGTCGCGAAACGCTGGAAAAGTTTCCCAAGGACTTTTGAACTCGAATTTGCGAAATTCCTGCGTCAATTCCACCGGTTCAATTACGACTCGTTTGTACTCATCGTCAAAACGCATCTGAGGGTGGAAAGGAGCATTGGGACGCAAAGAGTGATGAAGAGGAAAAACATTAAAATGAAATGTCAGAAGTGGCTCAGTACTGACGGAAGAAATGAGGTGACTTCTCTTAAGAAGGAAGCATTAGTAGAGTAAACCAGACGAGATTCAACAGTTAACTAATAACGTCGGTTTTGTGGCAGTGTAACATCCCAATCAAGGGCCACATATACAAGGCCACCACACGGACTAGCAGGATGGAGCAAGCAATAATGCAGCCTAAGCATTTCAGGCGCGACATCGGATTGCGGTTGAACGGTCGGTTACGAACAGGGAACTTGTTCCAATCCTGGCGATACACCGACGAAACTGAACAAGCATAATGGGTTCGCTAATCACTACTACTATACCTCCGATTGATACCAACACGTTTCCTTAACAGGAACTTTACCGCATGGGTTGACTAATAAAAATACTATCGCACGCTCTTTAAAACTTGGGCAACGAAATTCCAGTTCGGTTTAGAATGGTGAGTAATTAGTAGAACATTCAGCTTCGTCTGAATGAATATGCCAGACACTCAACACTCTTCCCAACATTAGTGAAAGGTGGTCGCTAACGACCTGAAATTTAGATCACTTGGAACAAGTACTTCTGTCACCCACAAAGCAGTAATACTGTTCACGAAGTATTGTAGAAAACAATAATGGCTACTGATAACTCGAAAAAATGCCGAGTTACCGTGTGTTGGTTTACTAACTTTGGTCCGTTTCGCTAGCTTGACATGTTCCAGGTGCTGCAGAGTGTCCTAGTCTAAATTACCGGCTCCGTCAGTCAAGACGAACCTAAGATAGGACAGGTGATGGACCAACAGGGTTCGCGGTATCGACTACTTCGAGGATTGTCGACTAACATATCTCAGTCAATACTAGAGAGAACACCCAATTTCTTTTTTCTTTTAGGATTCAAATTATGCAGCTGAAGAGCCTAGTGTCTTCGCTTCGATTCCGACCGAGGATGAAAAGAAAAAAACAGTAACAGACAATTTCGCAAGATAACCTATGCCACGCATGATTTGGAACATCGATGGATTTTGAAGACGCCTCCACACACCCGTAGAGACGTGTAATCACCCTCCGATACCAAAAGCAAGACTGCAGTCTGATTTACGTCACCCTTAGGACCTGGAGTACAGTTTTGACGCAGGGTGGCGCAAATGTGTGAATAAGGTGCTGGCTTTTGAAATATGTGTTCCAACTTCATCTGCTACACTGCTAGCTTCTGAGGAGCTATGTCAACCAACGTGCCATAATGAACCTCGAGGGATAGGTTCACAAAATGTGTTCTTGTGCACGCCTCTGTGGGTGCAAAGCTAATACCGAAAGATGAAATGACTCTGGGAAGCTATCCTCACAAAGTTAGTGTTTCTTTTTTATTTCAAAGATGTGGGTATTGCAACCTGATTGGTCCAGATCCACGAGGATTTCGCCAAAGGCGATCTGAATACGGGAGTTTTCAACATCTCTCACTGGCTGTCGCATTTTATCGCAGCATATATAAGCTTGTGAATACTAAAACGTAGGACGCTTGTAGACTTCTAAGGCGAATCTTGTTGAAGATACAGGCAAAACAAACCCATAAACCGACTATACATTCACTCTCACAAAAGAGCTATCAGAGCAAATGAACCAGGTTAGTGTTTGAGTTCACCGGTTTGAGCACAGTAGCGTCTCCACCAAACAAACAGCATCAACAAGTAGTAAACTCCATGGAGGAAGGGGTTTCGGCGATACCAGAAATTTCCACCACCATTAAAAAACGATATACGCGCTCAGATGTAGCACCCTTTCGGTGTATAGCTGCCGTGCAATTCGAAAGAACCCCAAGAGCTTAAATATTGACAGGCCTCCAAACCCTAGATAGAAGAGTTCGGAAAGGGATGAGTTCAAACGATGACTGTCCCATCAGTAGTTTTGTGCCCTAACTGTTGATCTATCTTGAGCTGACTTTAAACCACAACATCCCACGAATAAAAGGAACACCTACAACCCGCAGTACAATGTTCTAAGAGCGGTATTTGCCCCTCAATATGACACGTTTGTTGGCTGAGATGGGGGGGGGGGGGAGAGGGCCCAACCGGTTAGGCCGCGAATTTACTGACCGGAAGGTCCGTGGTTCGAACCCAACCTCTGCCTCTCGAATTCCCCTGTCTAGGCTTGGGCAGTATCCAGCCCTCGTGCTTCCTTTGGGTAGCATGGCAGCTAGGCGCCGGAAGGGTATTACAGCTGAACGACTTATTATTTTCATTTTATACTGGCCCACACCAACACTGCTGAAAACTTATAAGCACTGGACACATGACATTAACTCTAGTCAGAAGCTTCTACAGCTGGAACGGATACCTTGTCAGCGTACTGGAATTCCACTAAGATGTATTCTGGTGGGTCTCCTACGTTAACCGGCTCGTAAGAGTTCAACCAAGTTGGATGTGAAACAAATGAAAACTAACCACTAACGATACGATAAACAGTGCACTGAAAATGTTGGATAAACAGAATGAAACCATTAGCGAATATACACTCATCGGCAAACTAATTTGGTTCTTTCGAGAGACTCACCTGGAACCCAGCTGAATCTCTCGTTTATGATGTTCTCAAGTTTCAAGTAGAACATAAGGTTGACGGAAACCCGGGGACTGCGCCTACCTGATGAGCCCCAAGAAGGGCGAAACCGGTCGTGGGCTGTCGATGGATTTTCATCAACCTTATGAGTAGTACATTACAAATATATAGAATGAAACCATGTTTACACATGTCAGGGAAAACCTCCCTCGTCTAACCAATCGTTGATAAAAGCACCCCGTGTGTCAAGGTCTCACCGCAGCGCAACAGGAGCTTATTCAGGATGGCAAAACCTAACGAATCTCATCCATGTACCGTAGTATGAAAGAGCACAACAGATACAGGTTGATGGAGTGCTGTGATTTGATTTAATTCATTAGAAACGATTTGACGTGGTTGCCCATATAACACGGGTTCAGTTCAACATGAAGGTTATTTGGAGAAATAATTGCCACCAAACATCTATAAAAAATACTTTAAGGCTAACGAGTTTTTGTTCTTCTTACTAATCTAGTATACTGTTTATCGGGAATGTACTGTACGTGTATACTAAATTTAATACAGGTTTGATATCAGTTACTATTTATGTAGGGGAAGCATGTGACCAGCGAGGGTGTGATTTGATGATTTTGACTGACATTACGATAACTACTGCCCAGTGAGCGCAAATTTTACCCGTCCATAACATGCAATATCTATGTTGTTGAAGTTAAGTTACTTCAACAGGATCCTGTTAGATGCAGAAACTTCAAAAAAAAAACGGAAAACTAGTGAAGTCAGTTGGGGATGCAAACTGAGCTTTGGTAGAAACGCAATTCAATTTCCACATCAACAGGGGAGACGTCACTTCAGGAAAGTAACTCGGCGGTATTTGCATAGAGTTCACTCAGCACTAGATAATCACAGCAAAAGACGAAGGAGGCGACTCCGGAAAGCGTCGCCTTTTGTGGAGAACTATGATACCTCCAGAAGAATTCAGTGTGCTCATGTAAAAAGCTTTGGAAACAACAACATGAATGGCAACGACTTGTGATACAGCATGTGACAACGAGACCGGCATACGTTAATATGAACCCCTGATATAAACCGATTGACCCACCTCTGTATAGCCTGAGAGAGGGAAATCTTTTCTTTGCGGGTGCCCTTGAAATCCATAGTCCGTAAGTATTCGTCTCAAATCTGGGTGGTCGGCGAAATACACGCCATACATGTCCCAGACTTCACGTTCGTACCAGTTGGATGCTTGGAATACAGAACACGATGTATCGATCGGTGTAACCTCGTCCGTATAGGTAAGCACACGAATTCGTGAATTATAGCGCAGAGACAGCAGATTGTAGACTATCTGAAAAGAGTTTAGTCTAACAAAGTGCACGTATGTGTACCTCAAAGCGATACTGCCTGCTTGGGACATCAATGGCAGTGATATCAGATAAGTTGACAAATTGTGCGTTATGATGATTTTTTAGGAAAGACAGAACAGGAACCACTCCATCAGGATGAATGCAGATTTCCAATTCCTTCACGTGACCCACACGAACTTCCTGGACGTACTTAGGTAGGCATTCGGCTACATAAGCACCGAACGCTGACAATCGTTCTATTACAGGATCAGAAGCTGAAAAGCATGTAACAAACGCTCCACGGTTCGATTTACCTGCCGTAGTCGTTGTCCGAGCAGTCAATGTTGAAGCACGGGTGCCAAGCACTTGAGCATCATAAAAGGAAAGAGGAAAACAAACCATACCTCTGGTGAGAAAAAGATAGGTTGACAGGTGGCGTAACATGATTCACAAGTGGGTAAATGACACCCCAGATAGAGGTGACCGCCGGTCACTATCGGAGCTGGAACAAGAAGTACATAGACAAGCCGCTGTGTCATAATTGGCAAATGGAAACGCTGCTCTAAGTACGAGGGTCATTGGGTGAAATTAATGAATTTTTATCACGTCTCAATTGTAGAGCCACCTCACGGATTGGATACTTTGTTTTCCCATCTCCACCACTCGCGTTATCTCCAATCTTTCGTAGAATGCCGCCAGTCTTGGGATTTGCCATACCATTATTTCACACGAGTTACCACGAGATAACAATGCAAGAATGTCCCTTCGTCAACTTCATCAGATACTGCAAGACCAGTGTTGACGCTCATGTTTCACTTGCCTACTTCACTGTCCATGACAACAGCCGGAAGCAATACATGCTGCGAGGATCTATTGATAGTGTGGCCGGTTTTATTACCAATGTTCACCACTTTGTCCACAAAGTAGTACCGGAGCACACTCATTTGCAAACAAATGATGTTGTGCTGCACCATGCCGCCTCGTGTTTCAGTTGGTACGATAATCAATATATCGCAAAACAGTATAGACGTAATACACTACTCCCGTGGACGCTTACATACCTTCGTCAAATTCCATCCTGAGTTCACCATATCTAGTGGTGTCAGTCGAAGATGTCCTCTGTCGCCCTTTCTCTTCAACCTCGTAATCTGATGTACTGCTTGCGTCCTATTAGCCTGCCTCGGGGGTTGAAATACTACCAGGTGATTCGCTCAAGGACATATATATATATATATATATATATATATATATATATATATATATATATATATATATATATATATATATATATATATATATATATATATATATATATATATATATATATATATATATATATATATATATATATATATATATATATATATATATATATATATATATATATATATATATATATATATATATATATATATATATATATATATATATATATATATATATATATATATATATATATATATATATATATATATATATATATATATATATATATATATATATATATATATATATATATATATATATATATATATATATATATATATATATATATATATATATATATATATATATATATATATATATATATATATATATATATATATATATATATATATATATATATATATATATATATATATATATATATGTCCTTGAGCGAATCACCTGGTAGTATTTCAACCCCCGAGGCAGGCTAATAGGACGCAAGCAGTACATCAGATTACGAGGTTGAAGAGAAAGGGCGACAGAGGACATCTTCGACTGACACCACTAGATATGGTGAACTCAGGATGGAATTTGACGAAGGTATGTAAGCGTCCACGGGAGGAAACACACAAAACCTTTATAAAACGCAAAAAATTTCAAAGGATATCGCCAGACACTGCCACAGTGCCTCACGACCAACGGAGTCAAGCACAGATTTGAGGCCGAGAAAGACTACCATTGTTGGTGGTCAGAATTAGCGGTACAGTTCCGGTACCTGTCGCAAAGTGAAGATATGATCAGGACAATCCCGGCTAGGGTGAAACTCAGCTTGATTCTCGCGAATCTGACTGTCCCAACAGTGGGTCAACCGACGCAGGATGATACCAGAAAACACCTTGGAGGTTATGGCCACTAGACTGAAGCTGATGGTTTACGTACGATATATATGCACTTTTTATGAACACGAGAATTGCCGTCGGGACGCTCCATTCTGTTTCAATTCTTTCATCATTCTAGATATTTTGAAGTAGGGTCGATAGGTTAGCCAAGATGGCCGACAAAGCGGTGATGGTTGCTTTGGATGTTAGTGCACACAAAAATTCTGAGGTCAACATACAGCTTAGCAGGCGCTCCCCGTTGTTCGTGCGTCTTGATCCCAGTTCAAGATATCATCATCATCATCGGCAGCATGACATCAGTGTTCAACACCGAAGTTTCACTGCCGTAGTTCAAGATAACCACACAAATGAGCGTCAGCAGTGCTAGTTCTACCTACATAAGCATTCACTTTTTCGGCAACCATGACATTAATATACAGTGAACCCGGCGCACATGCCAAGATGGTTTCAGAACCCGAACGTAAAAGGCTTTCAGATTAACCAACCATGGGGTTTTGAACAATGCTTTCGAAGTGCTTGCGGTCCTCACAGTTGAGCGAACCGTGAATAAAGTAGCCCTCCGGATACTACGCTAGAAACGACGTGTTGGGGGTTAGAGGGACGAATGTGTGAAAGAGAAAGAAAGTAGTAGTGGCAGTCTACTTTTGCTTACGCGCCCTGCTGTATGCAGCAAGTAAGGCGACCGATCGGCTAATGGCACCACGCGACCGTCCGTGTGGCCTAAGATTGTTTGCAGATATGCAATTCGTGGTTGTACGTGGTGTGGGATAAGGTCACGGCGCCCACGCCTAGACAGGAAGACTAGGGTCCTAAACCAAAGACTTTGGCTCAGAAGCCCAATCGCAATGCAGCTGTGGTCGGTGCAAGACGATCGAAGAAGTCCACATTTTTGAGAAGCAAGTCACCACACAGATTCAAATCCCCAACCAAGAGAACCTCTAATCATTGACCAAACTGGTATCCGCGGCTCTGTGAGTGTCACACATAAACTCGGCAGTACATCCTATTGGGTTATGGAGGTGCCCAAAACGTTATACCGCGGTAAGGTCCAGTCTCCTCGTGACAGTCTATGTGATCTATTACACGGTATTTCAAACGTGACCTACGTATGGACAGAGGTGTGGTGGGACAAGAAAACTAAGAAAATGGAAGCCAAAGCGGCCGGGAACACACGGAAGCTGCTATAGCTAACCTGCAAAACAAAACTCAGATAGCCTTTTGTGAGTTAACCAAAGACAATATTGGAAACCTAATACGTAATATACAGTTGTAGCCAGATTATTGGAATACTTTCAACTGCAGTTCAGACGATCGCTTGTCTTTATGCATATTTCTTCCATTCGACTAGCTCATTTCGACCCGTGAACTGAGTTCAAACCACCCATCAGTTTCTGATGTACCGACGCGTCTTTCTGCCCTGAAGCACCACCGGGTCAAAGGAACCAGATGTGCTTCCCCAGAGTTGTCCATAGATGGAAGGGAATCCCCTCGAACAGATAGTTACGACGTACTTTGCAAAAGCATTGGTGTCAGTCAGTGGTCATAGCCTCGTTCAAATAAAGTAGCAAAACAAACTATTAATACTATGACAGCCTTAGTCTCACACGTGTCGTAACATGGCTGCTGACTTTGCCTACATGGCAACTCTGATCTTCGGCAAGGAAATGCCAGAGCATCAAGCGGGATTTTGATCAGGCGGAGGGTGTACTTACCGCCTTCACATTACGTAAAATTTCTGAGCAGCGTTACGCGTGCTGCCTACTAAAATGGAGTTTCCCTCTATTTTAAAAGAGCCTTCAACTCTGTGGCTATATCAGATTCCCGAAGTATTCTTGGCCAGAGTTGGATGCTCTTAAAAATTTGTAAACATTCCTCCTGTCCTGTATTTCCATAGCTCCAATTACACAAGGACTTATAACGAACCATCCAGAAGCTTCCTCAAAACCAGAGGAGTTCGCTCTCCTTTGTAATCGGCGTCAGCATGGAATACGCACTCGGTGAACACGGACCTAGGTATTGAAACCGCCTCTGGAGAGAGATTATTGAACTTGGATTTTGGGGACCATATCGTTTTATTGGTTGATCGTTATCTGTTCGCGCAAAATACCCTAAGCGGAACAACTATATGCACTTTGCATCTTCTACATGCGAAGTTCTAATGCGAGATTTCGCATCTTCATGTTAGGTTTGAGTTTGTTGATCGGTTCACGTAAACTGGTAGTTGCATGGGCTGTAAGTGTACTGCAACAGATAATGTGCGGATAACGGGGTCACGGGAGCACTCACGAATTTCGAATAATTTATATCGTCAGAAACAAATTTCGCCTAGGATAAGGCAACTGCAAGTAATGTGAGAATCCCTCCAGACCCGAAGACCTTAGTGTCTTCAGACTTGATGATTACAGTTCGTAGCATAAGAACGATTAGTTGGCTCCAGCAAGGACGCAAGAAAACACGAGGTAACGAATCCAAGTCAACAGAAGAGAAAATTAAACGTACTTAGATTAGGTTATGTCACAAAAACGTGAAATGGGAGCGGCCTGTCAGACGGTGCTGTGAGAGCTTTGCGCCTTCCTGGCTGGAAACCTTGCATGACACGGCACGCGATCAATCACACTGCGCACATGCAGTCATTTCCTAGCTGGGCAGTCTAGTTTAAGTCCGCCTTTTGTTGTGCACCGGACCAATGTCACGTGAGTTTCCAAAGGACGTTGAGTCGACTCACTGATGGGACCTCAATTCGACATGATGCTCAGCTGTGTCTAGTTTAATGGTGTCCAAAGGTACAGGCAGCTTAATCTTGAGCATAGTCCTTAAGGACACGGGACTTCCAAAAACTAAGTCCCTACCCCTCTCTTTCCACATTTTACTAAGGCCGTTTTTTCTGATCATTGTATGGCAGTTAGGTGCCAGTATGCACTACCGGTGTATTCGTGTCGATGATGATAGGGGTTTTCTATTCGTGTCCTAGAGACACAACACGGATCGACGGAAAGGGGAGTAAAATTTCGGAAGGAGATACCTGTTGCCCAAATTAACATAGGGTACGTACATTGAAAGTTGTAAGGTTGGTCAGTTGTTGAGTTCAGTAAGGGCATGTTTGCTGTCCTGAACAGTGGCTTAGATAAAAAGGGCGTTAAATGACGGATAGTTTGAGCATTGTGAACCAGTTGAACGGTGGGAAGCAAGTGTGCGTAAGGGTCGAAACTGGGTTCGACCCACAGACCTTACAGTCAGTACATTTGCGCTTTAACCACTGAGCTATCTCGAGCTCGACTCGTCACTGAGAGTAATATACCAGTAATATATACTGTGCTTAATTGTCGGAATCAGTGA